AATTACTTTAGATAATATTTCAAACGAATGGTTTAGTAGAGATTTGTAAAGAAAATAAATACTAAAGAATCAATTATATTCAATTCGCTTTAACTTAGTATTTATCAACTACACAAAAAAGAAAACATAAGACGAAAAAAAAATATTAAATGGAAAATAGAAAGTTAAATTCTAGTCACGGATATCAATTAACGATTATTCTGTTGACAATCGATTGTTTTATATAATACTGTGAAGAGGTGATGGAGTTATGAGATCATCTTCATCATGCCAGTTATCCACGGACGGTCAATTATATACAGGGTGTTACAATACGGACTAGAATTACTATGACCGATGAGATTGGTCCTACTTCGTTAGGGTCACTAATATTAAATTACACACGCCCATAAAGATATTTCAGTATGATTAATGTTTTAATCGTCATCATCAGCCTATCAGAGCCCACTGCTGAGCAAAGGCCTCTTCTCACATGGAGAAGGTTTGAACATTAATCACCACGCTTGCTCAAAACGGGTTGGTGATTTCAAACTTATAATTATGAAGTTAAAAGTCCAGTTTCCTCACGCTGTTTTCCTTCATCGTGGTTTTTTAATATATAAGTGTTTTAAAATATAAGTCAAACTGTCGCGATAAGGCTGGCGTTGACCGCTTTAAAGCGATTTCTGTGCTCCGCTTGACAATCAGTTCCGCGGCTAAAGCCGGCTTTCAGTTACAGGTAAATGTTTAATTCATGGCGTTTTTATATAGAGCCATCGTAAGCTTTACTTTATGAAACAATAATTTGATTAGTTTCGGTTTAAATGTTTTACTTACTGTTAGGAAATTGTTTTCCAATTGTTATAAGAAGTGCAGATTTTGATTATCAGAATGAATGTAAGCAATAAGTTTTATCACGATTAGTGGATGAATTTTTGTTGATCTTCTATACGACACAAATTAAAGGTTTTTGAACAAACTTCCCTGACATATAACTGGGACGTCCAAATAAGCCATACCATTTGTATTGTATACTAGCTGTTCCTGCGGCTTCACCCGCACTTTAATCCCCTTTTGTGGTACACTTCGTAATCCTTATGAGGTTTCATTCAATTTCTCGGGGTCCCCATTATCAGATTGTGATTTAATTTTAATGTAACTATATTAAGACATTTTGATAGAGAAAAATATTTTTGAAAATTTTGCCTTTGATTGATGGAGCATAGTGTAACAAACATGAACTAGAATAGAGAATTTTCTCTTTTTTAAAGTCGGTTAAAAGTACCCCAAGTTACTCCTTGTGACATTACCGCCCTGAGAGTGAAAATACCGTCAAAATAGGTCCAGCTCCATCCGTTCCAGGGATTATTGGAAACAAATGACAGATCGATAGATCAAAATTATAAAAATTGCAGTCCGATTTAAAATAATACTTGTATTATTTTAAATTTAATATGCGTTATTTGACTCCGAATAAAGAGGTCGTTTTTAAATGGTTATCACATTCATTATTTGACATATTTAATATTTATACATTTCTTTTTTTTTTTTGCCCAATTTCGAAAACCACGCAGAGGAAGTTGCAGAAATAAATAGTATTATAATAAATCTCAATAAGTGTGAAATTCGATAAAAAAATACGCATTGATTAAGTTATTCAAACAATTTTGCTTATTTGCTACTAAAAATTAAAAGATAAAAGATTTTATTGACTACATTCTTATAGTTGAATATATTACCATTTTATGTTCCAAAATTTTTTTTATATCTACAACTAATTTACATTTTAGATTCGGGGCTCGCACAATATAAACAAACAAACAAATATCTCTTAATAATATTAGTCGAGTTAATCTTTTGATCCGGTTAGTAATTAGTTGATATATTTAATTCTATTTTCTTCTCAGTAGATATTATATTCTTTTCATACACAAGGTCGTTCTATACTTTGTCATAGTGAGCTATCATTAACTCTCGATGTCGACATCAAATCCTCGTCATTAATGCGAGTAACCTTTCGTCGTGTTCACAGACTGTAACAGTTCATCAATCATCGAAGCCCCTCTATCGATCGTACCTTATCTGACGTCATCGGCATACATTTTTCATTGTGTTCCAACAGAAAGCAATCTAAATGTAACAGCTAACATGTGGCCGGCTATTATTTTCCAATAAAAGACGAATATTTCAAGTTTCACAATTGATAATGATCGCTATACTCCTACATTGTCCACACTCGGTGTGACGACATGCCTCACTCGTCTTTGTTTCAGTACAGTTTATGTTTTCCTCTCGTTCGTAATGGTCATACAGTTTGTCAGTTATTAATTGGCGAAACTAGTTTTTTTTATGCAGTGTATACGTTTTTGGTCGTAATGCAGTTTTAAAGAGATGTTGTCGCGTTCGTCATGGTTCATTGCCTTGAATACAGACACCCTAATATGGCAGCGAATATCGGCGCGGGGCCGCCTCGTTGACGATCAGGACGGCTGGCATTTGTAACTATTAGACATAGGGCTTACGAACGTCACTGTTAGACATACAACAGTTATACACGAACATATCAGTCGATAGAAATATATAGATATTTGAAGATGAAGTGAAGGATTATAGAGTTAGCGATATGTGTTGCTCGTGGCTGAAATGTCGCCGGCGAGTGGCGGACTCCTCGGAACCGACCACTAACTTGGAGGCTGTCGACAAATGTGTCTCCGCTACTGACGAGACGGGCCTCCAAACACGTAAGGCGATGACGGCTGTAGTGGAAATATGATGCACTTAGTGCTTTGTACACAGACATATATTGCTATTATTAGATTGAACGTTTTTATAAAATAGATACACGTGTGGCTTCAATTTTGTTTTGACACGACATGTCCTAATAGATGTTATATGACACTTCAGCGTTTCAATATGTATTGTACGGTTATATGATATGTAACGTTCGATCCCAGCTCCGTCCCGCGTGACTCGCAACAATCAGATGAGGGTGTCCAACGCTGGAGGAGTCGCGGGGAGTGGTGGAGCGTACACTAACGGGCACGGAGGAGACACTACGGGCCGGCGAGGAGCGGAGAACGTGCCGCCACAGACGCAGCCCGTGCCTAACACCAGGGTCACTCAACAGGTATATATAATTGAAAGGATGACCATATTCTTATCCTCATCCCTTACCAATCTTCCTCATCCCATCCCCTCCTACCCCTAGCCGCCTTCGTCCGGTGGCCAACGCACCAGCAGCACCCCGAGCGCCTCCGTCATACAAAGTCTCCCGCCGACCAACCAGGGCCGGAGGATGCACAACATAAAAGAGGTTTCGAACATACATATTATACACGATGGACTCCTTATAATAGAATATACTTTGACGTTTCATTAATTCTAAGTCATTTCGACCAGCGATAAGAGAACTGTTCATCGCTATATATGCTTATAATAGAATATTTGTTTGACCAGTGATAAGAGAACTGTTAATCTTTATATATAATATGTATGTGCGTGTCTAGTTCACTGGTGTGTCGTCGGCGAGGGCGGGTGGCGTGGCCAGCTCGGTGTCGGTGTCGGCGCCTCACGCGGCCGCCTCGGGCGCTGTGAGACGCTCCAACGTGGTGAAGGAGGTGGAGCGGCTCAAGGAGAACAGGGAGAAGAGGAGGCAGAGGCAGGCCGAGCTCAAGGAGGAGAAGGTAACATTATATACACTATACATTACAATATACATACACTTATTTATGTATATATACTAGCTGATCCGGCGAACTTCGTACCGCCTTATAATCAAGAAATATATGTTTAAAAAATATATGTTTATGAAAAATAGGGGTTGATCGTAGAGGGGTGAAAAAATTTGAGTAATATGAGATTTTTTATTGTAAGTCATCAAAAAATAAAAAAAAAATTGCCAAAAAATTAAAGTTTTTAATTAACAAATAAAAAATAAGGGTTGATCTCAGAGGGGTGAAAATTTAGGGTTGTATGTATTTTTGTAGGCTGTGTCATAAAAACAAAAAATTTTGCCTAAAAAATAAAAACAAAAATTTTGGGGTGGACTACCCTTAACATTTAGGGGGATGAAAAATAGATGTTGGCCGATTCTCCCCCCTTATTAGTATCCTCGATAAGGATCACGAAAATCGTTCGAGCCGTTTCGGAGGAGTTCAAGTTTGAACACCGTGACACGAGAATTTTATATATTAGATATAAATGAAGTCAGACGTTAAAGGGAATTGGGATTCATTTAGTCTGGTCATGTTTATTTTATGTGTGATCATTTAATAACCGATTTCAAAATTGTATGGTATTTTAAAGTAGGTAAATTATTTAGGATTGTAATACAACTCTTGATTGAATTTCTCTACATTTTTACCGACTTCATATAGATGGTTTTGTTTTTTATTTTACATCACTGTCTTTAGATATTAAAAACTATCAACATGAATGTTACGTCCTTGTCTTCAAGTTGTACTTCACAAATAAGCTTCGAGGAAACTACACAAAAGAACGGTAGATAAAAATTACCAAAACAGACTCCTCAGTTATCATTAGTTTGAAATATAGGAATTACAACAGTGTGATATTTTAGTCTGTATTTATTAAAAAATCAATAAGATTCCATCAACACTACATTGACCTGACAATAAAATACATAATTATGTATAAATAATTAAACCTAATATTTGGATGCCTTATGGTAGAATGTACCTGGAACTTATACTAAAATCTATTTGTACACCTTTAGTCTGTACCTACATTCAGAGCAAATAAAATATTATTATTATTATTGTATATTCAGGGTGACTGGTGAATTACTATCAATATTTAAGGAGCATACTCGGTACATGATTCTCATTCGTTTCTATGCAATTTTTCAGTGTGACCAAGGCCCTCCAAGTGTTTCATGGAGGCGTGCTGATACAACACTACCCGCCGCACGGTAATTCACCAGTCACCCTGTATACTTGTCTCACCTCGTTTCTATGCAATTTTCAGGAGGCCCTAATGAACATGGACCCCGGCAACCCTAACTGGGAGTTTCTGGCCATGATCCGCGAGTACCAGAGCAGCATCGACTTCAGGCCGCTGACTGGAAACGAACCGTAGAGGACCATCAGATAACAGTCTGTGTGAGGAAGAGACCGCTCAACAAGAAGGAACTCGTCAAGAAAGAGGTATACTCACATAACATGGGGTGAACTATGAGTAGGGGCTGCTTGGTACGCGGATTGTACTAGTACCGTCAATGTGAAAGTTACACTCATGTAGAATCTACTGAACGGATTTTGATCAATAGAAGTTATAGGCATAATTTAGGAACATGTGACAACAGTTGTGTGTAAGTTGAGCTATAGTGACAATAGATGGCGCTGACGGCTGGTTAACGACTCTATAAATACTCTCTGAACAAAAAATGTGTGATATTGCGGATGAAGTCGGTGTCAAAATCTAGTAGGCATCCTTATAAATTAAATTTGAATGTTATTTTTCAAGGTGGATGTCATCAGCGTCCCGACCAAAGACCAGATGATAGTCCACGAGCCGAAGAACAAAGTAGATCTCACGAAGTACCTCGAGAACCAGAAGTTCAGGTTCGACTACGCCTTCGACGACTCCTGCACCAACGAAGTTGTTTACAAGTAAATAATATTATTATATATATATATACTAAATATGTGTATTACATAGTTTTGAAGGATAAAATTAGTTATTAATATGAATACATTTATGTATATGTATATGTGATCAGGTACACGGCTAAGCCGCTAGTGCAGACGATATTCGAAGGCGGTATGGCGACCTGCTTCGCTTACGGACAGACCGGCTCGGGCAAGACGCATACTATGGGCGGAGACTTCCAGGTGATACATAGACTATACACGAATAATACAGATAATAACAGCCGCAGAATGATTATGTTAGCTTATTATATAGTCTGTGGTCATTAAGAGATTCTTTTACGTCTTGTAGGGTAAGATGCAGGACTGTAAGAAGGGCATCTACGCCATGGCTGCCCGCGACGTGTTCGCCTACCTCAGGTCGCCCAAGTACCGACCTCTCAATCTCATAGTGTCCGCCTCATTCTTCGAGATATACTCCGGCAAGGTGATAAAAAAATACCATACATACATATCTTTATTACAAATTTAGTGTTATCGAACCACATACGTGATACGGGGTTTCTATGTGAATTTTACAACTTAACAACAAATTACCGTCTACTATAAGAAATGCAAGCTCAATTAACTAATTTAAATCTCAACTTTCACAACATATTTTAGAAAATTATTGATATACCAACGATGTAACACACTTGTAATAATATCTTACTATCTTTTATTGAGTTCCAAATAATTTGGCGACTACTTTTGTATTTTCACTTTTGTACATATGTATGTTCTCATGTAAGTGACTATGTCTTTTTAAGAATAAATTCTTTAAACCTATTTTCATCATCAACAACAGTACAGACGCCTTAAAAATAGAAATCTTTAGATACTTCAATTTTTGCTTTGTCTAACTACGTACATACGGAGTTTCTATGTGAATTTCATCATCATCATCATCATTATCAATGTATGTAGATAAACTGCAAACTCTGTGATTTCATACTACATACTCATAATACATGGTATATTACTAGTTGTTGATCGTGACGTCATCATTTCCAGGTGTTCGACCTGCTGGCCGACAAGGCCAAGCTGCGCGTGTTGGAGGACGGCAAGCAGCAGGTACAGATAGTGGGGCTCACGGAGAAGGTGGTGGACAACGTGGACGAGGTGCTGAAACTGATACAACACGGGAACGCTGCGAGGACCTCCGGACAGGCGAGTACATAATACTAGCTTTCCGCCCGCAGCTTCGCCCGCGTGCAGTTCGGTTATATCGCGTTTCCAAGAGAACCTTTCAAAAGTCTGGAAAAACTATCCTATGTTCTTTCTCAAGGTCAACTCCATCTCTGTACTAAATTTCGTTAAAATCAGTTCAGTGCTTTAAGCGTAAAAGACAGACAGACAGACAGTGACTTTCGCATTTTTAATATTAGTAGGGATTTACCTGTATATTATATGTCTATATTAATAAAGAGGAAAGATTTGTTTATTTGTTATGAATAGGCTCCGAAACTACTGAACCGATTTCAATAATTCTTTCACCTTTGGAAAGCTACATTATTCCCGAGTAATATAAGCTATATAATATTTAAATAAAAATTAGGGATCCTTACTAAAACTCCAATAATGTAACCCAAGGCGGAAAAAAATGCTCTGAAAAATTCCTTACGTCGCGTGCGCTGCGAAAACTGTTGATGATAGATTCAAATCATTTACTACGACTTTGCAGAACTCATCATCATCTACAAAAAGTGTTGCGACAGCATATGTCTAAATATTATAGTTATGTCACAGTAAGCGGTTTTTTATTCCAAAAATTTAATTTATATGCCGCCGCATGGAAAGGCTCTTTATTTGTACCTTGGTACTAATCCTTATCAAAATAAATTAATTTATATTCAAGACGGCTTCAACACCTTCTTATTACTTTTTGAATTATTCAATTCGGACATTTCATTCGGAAGACATCACGAGTTTAAAAATTCAAGTATTAGAAAAAAGTCGCGTGGTTGCCGCTCACCGGGCTCAGCTAGCCAGCATGCGATGTAGGCTCCATGTAAGCGTCACTGGGGTACGAGGGGGGAGTCAATCACAACTAATATTATAAATGCGAAAGTAAGTCTGTCTGTCTGTCTGTCTGTTACGTTTTCCCTCTTTAACCTCTTAACCGATTTTGATGAAATTTGGCACAGACAATCTTTAGACCCTGAGAAAAAACATAGGCTGCCCTTTATTGCGAAAAAGGGGATGAAGAGGTTGAAAGTTTGTATGGGATTTCTTAATTTTAAAAGATAAAACCATGAAACTTTATATTAAGGCATTAGATAAGATATATTTAAACATTTGTTCTAGCGTTTTTGAAATTTCGACCAGTGAGGAGGTGAAATAAGGGTTGAAAGATTGTATGGGATTTCTTAATTTTAAAAGATAAAACCATGAAACTTCATATTTAAGCACTTGATAAGACATATTTAAACATTTGTTCTAGCGTTTTGAAATTTAAAATCGTTTGTTATTTTTACCACCGTGGGGGTGAAATTCTACACACGGAATTCCCGAAATTCGAACAGAACGGAACAGGAACTACCAAGTTAAACTTTTTGTATACAAAATTTTAACCACTGAACCTAGGAACATCATATTTAGAAGTTTTGGGTGTATCAAGTTAAAAAAAAGGCTTTTGAAGTTAAAGTTCCTTAATGAATAGGTACTCTGCATCGCCACCGCACAGTGGGAAAGCACCATACAAGACCGTCTCCAAACCCCAAAACATGAAAATCGTTGTTATGGAGTAAAACTAATTAATTAATATAGTCTTATAAATAATATTTCTTTTCTATATTTTTTTTAATTATTTTTTGGCTAGTTGTTCATAAGGATACTTATTACATTTAGAGGGGGTTATAGCTACATTTTAAACATAATATTTTTTTTTATAATTAATCCACTCCACCCCCTACAATATCCATTTTATTTAAAAAAATATCTTACTCATTACGTAGACATTAAATACGATAATCATAATGAATGTCAGTTAAATTAAAATAATAAATACATGACGTGTTTGATATGAATATCACAAACTACTTAACGTGTACTGTATAGTCTTCTTCTACCTGGCAATTTCCCAGCTTTAGTCAGGGTCTGCTTTACATGTTGTGAATAGTTTTGACTAATTGTTTTTACGGCGGGCCGCCTGCCTGACGTCAACCCTCTTTGGGAATCAATCAACCTGTATACTATAATGTTCATTATTCATATATTAATAGTAGTGTGTCGTATATATTCCAGACGTCGGCCAACTCGAACTCGTCGCGGTCGCACGCCGTGTTCCAGATCGTGGTCCGGTCGCCGGGCATGCACCGCGTGCACGGGAAGTTCTCGCTCATCGACCTGGCGGGCAACGAGCGGGGCGCCGACACCTCCTCCGCCAACAGGCAGACCAGTCAGTGACACGCATACATACATAATATCACTTTTCTTAACATTTTTATTTTATGTAGTCCTTTTCTTAATAACACTTAACGGTTGGATTTAGCTAAGATTTTCTCGAGCACTCATCTAAATGAAAGTAATGTGTTTCGGATTACTTTGAATATTTTAGAGATTTCACCTGACCGCGATCACGACCGAAAGTAACCGAAACGTCGGCAGTATATCGTTTTAAAATAATAATATTGACATAATAATCCGAATAATATTAGTTTCATTTAGTTTTGCTATACTTATTAATATGTTTTATGTCTGTGAATCCATGTTTTTCTGTACATTGATTGATATTAATCCATAGGAATGGAGAGTGCGGAGATCAACAAGTCGTTGTTGGCGTTGAAGGAGTGTATCCGAGCACTAGGCATGAAGGGTAACAACCACCTGCCGTTCCGCGTGTCTAAGCTGACTCAGGTGCTGAGAGACAGCTTCATAGGAGACAAGTCCCGCACCTGTATGATAGCCATGATATCACCCGCCATGTCCTCCTGCGAGCACTCGCTCAACACGCTGCGGTATGCGGACAGGTGGGTCATCACACATACTACATGCTTCATATAGAGTACCGCCAACGAAACAAGATAAAGTATCAAAACAATAGGATGGATTTAACTTTAATAGCCACTGTCATAATATGTTTGATTATTCAATTTCGAGACAGATAAATAGATAATATAATATAAGTTTGATGTCTTTATTTACATTTTTAATATATAATGTATTTTATATAGAGTCAAGGAGTTGGGTACGTCGGAAGGTTCCCGCGGGCGCGCGGAGTCCCCGCAGGCTGATGTAGACATGGAGCCCGCTACAGACGACCTCGCGCATCTCAGATCACTTAATGTATGGATCATATTCATGTATACATATTGGGCTTTCATAGAAACTAATATACCTCATTGTAAACGTGGGGACAGTGACGTGAGAGTGAGACAGCGAGATTTAACTCTTAGTTATTTTGATAAGAGGGCTCCAGAATTCGCATGTTTTTAATATAAAAATTTTGAGCTTAAATTTAAATTGAACTGGAGATATAGTTTTGCAAAAACAACTGTTTGTTACAACAGTATTCCGAATGGTTTAGGGTTTGAATTTAGCTTGTATCAATTAATATTAAATATATTTTGAACAGTTTGGTATTATACTGTTATGTATATGGTATTTTTAATGTCTTTCAGGAGGGCGACATGTCCGCGGAGATGTACACGTTCCACGAGGTGATAGACGAGCTGCAGCGAGCCGAAGAAGAGGTGCTCGACAACCACAAGGCCATCTCCGACTACCTCACGCACGCGCTGCAGCGGTGCAACGCGCTGCTGGCGCTCACCAGGGACGTGGACTACGACCAGGACGGTGAGCACGCACACACGTGCACACACACACACACACACACGCGCGCGCGCAGACCTTAACCTGTGAGTGTACAGGCTGCCGGGGGCGGAGCAAGCGGCAGCGAGCGACCGGCCGGCGGCGACTGATGGGTCTGATGAACTGGGATACTGACTAATACGATCATAACATTATATAGGGACGACATAACTAGCCTCCTCACTGCTAACGGGCCAAGGGATAATCATCGCCTCATTATAATACATAATCGGCTTCTATGACCCGCGACGGCTTTTATAATACAGGTAATATATATGTATGTATGTGTGTGTGCAGCGTACGTGACCCAGTGGGAGGAGCTCCTGAACGAGCAGCTGGCGGTGCTGGCCCAGTCCCGCGACCTGGCGGCCGAGTTCAGGAACAAGATGCAGAAGGAAGAACGGATGTCCAGACGCATACAGCCGCGACACTAACCGCCCGAGCATTTAATGATAAAGGCCTCCTTTTGTAGATATTTTTAATGATCGTGAGTCAAATCGGTGGTGCGGTCCTATCGGCTGAATTATTTAAGGTTCATATATCATTGTAACGTGAGCGACGCCGGTCTCATATAGTCCTGTAATGATTGATCTGTTGGAATACTCGCGCCGTTGTGAAAAAGACCGGTGTCGATTTAAATTCCCACGCCGAGCTCCTTACTAGCCGTCGGTTGTGTTATTGTGACATATCCCAGGGCTTATGTTGTTATGTTACATACTGATCGTGCCTCCAGGCTCCAGCTAGCTCCGAGCCAGCCTCGTCATATTTGCCGGTACAAATATACTGAGTGTACATCAAACCGATGAAGTAAATTTCTACACACAGATTTCGTCGTATTCCACAGACTGTTACCTTCGTTTAGTTTTCATCTCAAATCGCATCGACTCATAAAAAATCGTAAAACGTCATTATAATTAAAAAATAGTAAAACCACTTAAACGACTAACTATTATAAGGTTTTTTTTTTCAAGACAATACTTATATTTTTTTTTTTTTTGTAATCCTTATTTATTATGTTGTGATAATAATTGTAACGTGTTTTAATTTGGAAGTCGCGGACGTTCTCACGTCGATTTAAATAAATACCGCTTGTGATTATTGTTTGTTTGATTTTTAATTTCTCTGTCGGAATGTATAGATGTCGGATGTTTTTTCTTTTGGCTATATGTTTTGACAGATATACGATTTGCTGGTGCTAGAACGGTCGCCGGTACCGCTCGGTGTCTATGTTTTGCCTTAACGAGCACTGTTGTTCCTAAAGTATAATGAAAGTGTCAACTCAGTCGACAAGTTCCTCCATTCAATATATGAAACTGAATTCAAACGCTGTGTTCGTCGTTCGGTGACACGTCCTTTTGTTTACGCTCCGAAGCAGTGCTTACAAAGTTTATTAGATAGTGCTTTATAAATGACTCGGTACTCTGTATCAGAGAGAAGCACCGATGTTGACGAAATCTCTATGTTTATTGTAGTTAGGGCGCCGATGACGTCATCGTAAGTCTCGTTCGGCCTTGTATTGAATTAGTTTGTATAGAAGTATTAAATGGACGAGTGAGTGAGGTGACGCGGTCGTGCTAGAGATGCTTTATAATATAAACCTATTTTAACATCGCACATTATAATAAATTAATCTGAATTGATTGTGGGATTTTATTTATACACCTGATAAATAAAAAATCATAAATGTAAAAGTCGATATTTATTAATAACAAGATAACGAATTTTGTACTGGTATCTGGAGAGCCAATTTGTTCCGTAAATAACTTCCAAATATTCTTCTATGATATCATTAATCACTAACAAACTAGCAAAATAGCTAATGTTCTTTTGGAAGACACTATGGTTGCGAGTACAAAATACTATTTTGCCGTAAAGAAAATGCCTTTTCCTTGGAATTAACAATTACAAATTGAAAAAATAAAAGAGAATAATACAATGTATCACAGAGCATGCCTAGTTATATAAATAAATATTTACACATTCACTAATATTTTTAAAGTGTATTAAACTAAAATTAATCATAGTTGGAAAGGTTAAAACTTGTCATTTTTTTAAACCTATAAACTACAAATTAATGGATTGGTAAGTAATGGTTTAATTGCCTGTAATATAAAAACATCTTGGTTATAATTTCAACTATGAATCACAGATGTATCAGGTATTAAATAAGGTGCTATACACACTGTTTTCCATCCCATTCCTAGCAGGAATCAGTTGTGAATAAAATCCTAATAAATATTTTGTGTTATAAATGTTCATCTTCAAATCCATCTCCAGTAAGTATAGTGGGGTCGCCTATAGCGGGCACACTGGGACTGTACTCACTCGTAGCCCATAAATAGAAGTTGAGTGTACGTTCAGTACATTGAGCTATGAACCTGGAATTTATATAGAAAATACTTTATATATCTTTATTATTATTAAAAAAAAAACAGTAACTATAATTAACCGTTGGTCTCCACACTAGGTAAACCTGTGCCGTGATACTGTACTGTACTCATAGTATTACAAAATGGTTATATACTTAATATGAAAAAAATATATGTACTCTTCCGAATCGGCTTGAACGATTCTTATGAAATCTTGTGAGCATATTGATTAGGTCTGAGAATCGGCCAATAACTATTTTTCTTTAATTTTGAGACATTTTTTAATTTCTTTATTTTATTATGTACCATTAAAAAATACATACAACCCTACATTTTTACTTTTTATCACCTACCCTTATTTTTTTATATGGCAAAACAGGGTTTGTAGGGTCAGCTAGTAGAGATATAAATTTAAATGTCTAATAAATTGTTATACACTTTCTTATCGAAGAATGCACTTGTAGACACTAAAGTATGTCTTTCACTATCTTTAAATTCCTCACATTTCCATGTTACCAACCTAACAAATGGTCGTACATCCCCTTGATTAGCTGTAGTGAGATGTTGGTAGTACAGGTGTCTGTGTTGTTTGGGAACGATGGCTGGCGGGTGACCGGCTCTCATCAACAGCAGGTTCATCAACAGTCGAGACGTCCGGCCGTTACCATCAATGAAGGGATGAATGTAAACCAACTTGTAGTGTGCGAGGGCTGCATATCTGATATAATAGTTGTTATAATTATATATACATCAATTAATTCATAATTAATCTATATTAAAAGAAAATGTATAATTAATGCTGTTAAATATCAGTGATTAGTCATTATTAATGATAGTAATTAATATTCCCATTTATTAGTTTTATTGATATAAATATAATGATATAATGGGTGTTTATAATATGTAATACTGAGGTATTATACAGAAATTACTTCATTTTGGTTGTTTTACTCAGAAAAAAATTTAAAAATCTTTGATGAGATTTGAATCCTTATTCTGAGTAATATTTAACATATTTTTATATGTGGCAGTTATTAAATACAACATGATATATACTTTACTAATGATTCATAAGATTTGTAATATACTAAATAAGTTTTTAATGAAATATGTCCATTCAACAAACCTCACAGGATGTAACTCTAAGGCATCATCAGAATTTATCCATTCCAGGAATTGGTTCATCAGCTTAGGAATGTCAGATGGTGGAGGGGGTATATGGCCACCAACATACACTTGTGTTCGTCGGAATTGGCCACCTTCTATCGGATCGACATGTCCCAAAACTCTTTTATGTATCTCTAAAATGTCCCCCATAGTAATATCTCTAAGTCCATATAATAATGTAGAGTTAATATATTTCATAGCCGCATCTAAACCTAAGATTTCATTGTGCTCCGCTATACTTTTACCGGCGACGGCTATCCTAGTCTCTAGAATGCTACGAGTCTGTTGTAAAGTCATTGTGTTGCCCTCGATTGCAACTGTGTGGTACACGTGTTGGAAATACGCCTCCTTCTTTGCTCTACATAGTGCTGCATTATTTTCAGGAATAGATAATAAAGCATCTCTTTTCTCATCTATTTTTCTTAACATCTCTCTATCTAAATTCTCAACAATACTTGCTGTGCGTTGTCTATTTACCATAGCGCCTGTGTGCTCCGGATAATTGGATAATGCTAATGTATATAGCTCATCTGCCTTAACAACATCTTTCTTAGTATCTTCTAAGAACTCTCCGTAGTGGTTCAATATGTCCGCATGTTTCGGCGACAGCGCAAATGCGTGTTGGAAAAGTTTTAATGCTTTATCAGCTTTACCAATTTTTTTCATTTCAAGTGCAGCGTTCAAGGACACCACTGCTTCCGCATCGCTAGCTTTATCTTGTTTTTTGATGACTGGTGGGGTCTCAGCGACGAATGTCTCGAGATAGTTTCCGTATAACCCAGCAGGTATAGGTGAAAAGGGCCGAGGGAGCCTTACTTCGTGGCTTAACAGCTTGTGAAGTGATATCAATACAGCAAAAGTGCAAATTAAACTTGAAAATATTACCACTGTTTTACATCTATCTAAAAGCATTTTGAATTTAAAGTGATCATTTGCTGCGGATCTCATTATTTCGGTTTGAGACGATCTATCTGTACACACCATGTTTAATTTTAAAAAAGTCGAACCTTATCGATGTATTGTTTGAGTTGGTCACTGTTAATAATTTAGATTTCATCGTGTAATGATATTATGTTACTAAACACTAATACCACAAAAACACGTAAGGCCATCGTATGTCAAGTGACAGTTGACTTTGATTATACTCAGAGCGTCATCAATATGATTTGACATAAACAGCTGATATTAGGAATGTCTGTTAATTACTACAGATTCAACCACAAAATAGAAAACTCGGGAATTGTTTAAAAAATATATAAATAACTTTAACAAAAACGATTAGTTGAAATAATTTTTAAAAATTTATTATAATAAGTAAAATGTATTCTTAATTTTTAAACCTATAGATTAAAGGCGTAAGATTATACGACACAATTGTTTTTTATCCTGTTTATTCGCACTTAATATAATAATGAAGAAAAAACACAAATTTTCTTTCAATATAGTAGGAAAAGAATATTTTTACAATCCTTTTTAATTCCAAAGAACTGTCTATTTACCAGAAATATTTTTACTAAACAATATTTTTGTTATAGGTACTATAATAGTAAAATGACAGACTTCAGTCAGTGTTAGCCTAGTAGTTAAGAGGCCCTCCTCTCCTGCACTAGGGCGTGGGTTCGATCCTGGCCTGGGCAAGTACCAATGTAATTTTTCTGAGTCATATATTCTAGGAGTATTTAGAAATCATTGATTAATGCATTCCTAAGAGGGTTGATATCAGGCAGGCGGCCGGTCGTAAAAACAAATTGCCAAAACTATTCACAACATGTAAGGCAGACCCTGGCTATAGCTGCGAAATTGCCAGGAAGAAGAAGATAAAATGAGAGACGTCGCTCAATAAATTTATTCAGAATAACATTTTTCAGAGCAATCAAGTAAAATTATAAATAGTCTCCTCTCTAGTTTATCATCAAACATCATCATCATCATCAGTCTATCAGAGTCTATTGATGAGGAAAAGCTTCTTCTCACATGGAGAAGGTTAGAGGAGTAATCACCACGCTTGCCCAAGACGGGTTGGCGATTTCAAACTTACAATTGGAAATTATAAGTCCAGGTTTCCTCACGATGTTTTCCTTCACCGTCTGACGTCTGTCAGTGGTGTCTAAATACTCTTAGAAAGTATAGGTACATATAACTCGGCAAAATTATATTGGTACTTGCCGGGTATCGTTTATATGTAATATTGGTAAAATATAGTAAATGTGCCGATACACTGCTTTGTATATCTGACATTTCAGCTCTTTACGGGTGCAAGACGTTGTTAAAAAACTTTCACCTTATTTCCAATTCAATATCAAATGAAAAACAAAACCATAAATTTCAACATCTATGTATTAAAATAAAATATAAGCATGTATGTCTGATGTCAACAAAATATTGAATAGATGATACAAACTCTTAAAAATAAAAGATGAAGTTGTATGATATTTCATATATTTATTTTTGTAGTTAATAGAAATTTTATTGTAACTTTTTGTGGGAATCATCCATTTTGCATTTTATAAAAAAGTAAGGTGAAGTTTTGTCCATCGACTCTTTTAATTTAAAAGATATGTTGTTTTGATATTTTTGATGTGTAAACAATTTTTACTGGAATACAGATTTTCTTCGGCTTCTTCGTCTTGTCAATTCCACATATCATCAGACGCATTTCCAATTAAGCGTTGTCCCGATGAGTATATAAAGAAACATCATTTTGTACATTGACTAAGCAAATACTTCCTTTATATCTTTTATAATATTATTTTAAAACTTGTTTAACAATAGAAAAAATAACAGAGTTATGTTTAACTCAGAAATTGAATATTTTTTAATTGTTTTATTAATTTAATTTACTGTTATAGCAATGATACATTTATCATACTCAAGTCAACTACCAAATACAGTAGTTACCCGATACTTGACAGCACAGTCTCTTTTACTTGAAGTGACAAACGGGTTTCAGTGTAAGGGAATCTGACAGGCGTTAAACGACCTGCGAAATAATCGACGCCATTGTCAATTCAAATATGTTTAATATTCCGTTTTAAAATACTTTTTTATCATTCTCTCGAATAAATAAATCCTTATATTTTTACATTCAGATCATATAAGTTTAAACATTTACACTATTCAATTTAACACCAGCTTACGTTAAGCTGCTTGATCGCGGTGCGACCAATCCTGAATCCCTAGAAAATAATACTGCTGTTGAAGGATCACATTCATTTTATTGCTGACTAGATCTTACTAAGAGAACATTATCCTTTTAAATGAAAACCTAGCCATAAAACAACCTCGCTGATCCCTGCTGACTACACTGTGGCGCTGATGGCTCTTAATACTTAATTTACTAACACTAAACTTTATGGCAGTTATCAGAAAACAGTTCATTCGAGATCGTTAATCAAGCAGCTTAGTGATGGCCGGCCGCTTTTATGCGGTTTAGTGAAATACATATTCACTTTACGATTTTTCTTAATGGCATGAAAGTTTTATATCGTTGAATGAAACATTTTTGCAGTTCAAATAACAATAAAATCGAGTAACACCTTCATTATATTGGCAAGAAATCTCTACAACTATGATTAAAAAATTGATATAATTTTAATTAACTATATTACATAACACAAACTAGCACAAACATAAATTGAATTTCTATTCGACGCACTCAAAACCCAATTCATATCTATAACTAATTAGTTAAATAATAAAAATTTATTAATTTAATTAGCATCAATTATAAAATTTAATGCAATTTAGAACGAACTCCTCTAACTAAAGTGCGACCAGCGCCTCAATAACTAAAAGTAAAAAATCTTTTCAAACAGACCTCACAGCCTGACGTGGAGCAAGTATTGCATTCGAGTGTTGCCCTCTTAAACGTTCTCAAATATATATTAATAATTATCTGTTTGTTATAATTCGTTCAATGTAAGGGGATATCTAATTAATAAAACTATTTTATAAACACGTTAATATTTATGTTGAGAAAGTCTAAGTTGCGTGATATAAATATATTTCATATCCATCGGCTAACAATTCTCTCGAGATTGAGGCGAACGAAGTTTCTAATAGTAAGATAAGGTCGGGCGCACGCATGTATAGAGTCGGTGCTAAAAGTATTAAATATTCGATATGAAAGCCTCGAATCAGCTGTTTCAATGGCACATGGAGTCGACCACGATCATGGTGGAGTAGAAGGAGCAGCCCAGGGTTATCATGGTGCCCATGGCGATGGATGAGTGGTAGGCGCGGAAGGTGCGCAGCACGCGCAGGTAGCGGGGACAGTGAGCCAGCTCTCCCAAGATAAGACGACCCACCTGAATACAAAATATACGTTATAAATATACTTAGTACGAGTTTCAACTTTATTATGTAACGATATTAATTAAAACAGTTGAAAGAATGTTATTATATTTTCAAGTTGAACTTTGATGTTGAATGATTTCTTCTTCTTTAGTTAGTGGCGTTTTCTTATGGATTTCGCCAATGTCATCTACATAGTTATATGATTAAAATAGTTTGACATTTGTGTGACAGATGATAGACAGCTACTTGAAATGTCAATTGACATAATTTAATTAAATTATAACATATAGTAGTGTTGTACGTACTTCCTGTCCGCCACCAGCCGCTTCCTCCATCTGTGTCTTGACGTGTTTGGCGCGCAACATGGGCGCCACTAGTCCCAGGCGCACGTACGCCTCTATACTGAATACTACTAACAGCAGCGCTAGCTGTAGAAAAAAACGTTTATTATAAATAAAACCATATTAAATTTATTAAATCTTATTGTTTGTTAATTTGGAATCGTGTTGCATGAAAAAAAAATGTAAGCGAAGTTTCATTATTGGATATTTTTTTCTTTTTCTTTAATTTATAAATTAGTGCCAAGGTGAAATAAATTTGATTGCGATTTGCGAACCGGGAGCGTATAAGTAATAGTTGTAAAGAAATCATTAATCATATATTGACTTTGAGGTCAATATTCATACATGATACAATAAGATGTATTCAAAATTATGTTGAAAAAAATAATGTAATAATATATTACATATGACCATGTAAATATTTTTCTGTAGGATCTTAGATACATTTAAATTTCAAAAATCAATATATTATAAAGCTTATAATTGTAACCGTATATTTAAATAATAAGAATATTTATCTTGGCATACATATGAAAATAACAGTTTTTCCTTGAATAAAATTAACATTTTAATAACCCGGTCAAGTAATTATTTTATTAATCCTGTCATAAGACTAAGGGCAGTGTTAATAAATGGCAAAAGGGCACGCCACGCCGGCGGCCATTTTAAATCCACTTTATCCGGTTGCTAGGCAACCTTCTTGATACATTTTCGTCTGTGGCAACATTTAATTCACTTCACCTTCGATTACAACAAATTCATATATAACGTTGTAAAACATATCTCATTGACGTCAAATATATTACTTTCGAAATAAATTGCACTCACAATTAACAAGTGCTCATTAATCTTTATCGTCAACAACATGTTGTGACGTTTCATTTTGTAGGGCTCTCATAATATTGCGTAATTTTATTAAAATCAAACAATCCGTTATATAAACTTTGTATCGTATTTAATATCAACTAAAACTAACATGTTTCTCAACAGTATCAATTGTTAAGGTCAATAAAGCAATAAAATTAATGATTTAATACACTTGAAAGACAATCAGTGTAATCTGTACGTATTTAAAGCGTTTAAAGTACATAGCTACCGACTGGTAGTTAGTTTATTATTGACAACTCACTTGTATCCAGGATGTGTTCTCGAAGCGCGTGAGGCACTGGGTCCTGAAGTAGGCGAGGACAGCCAGCAGGCTCACGACGGAGTTGAACGCGTAGTACACGGGGAAAAGTACGGTCTGCACGCGACCGAACTCGTGACGCGGCAGAGAGAAGTACAACACGATACCTGTAGATAACAGAAAGTTTACATATAATTAGATCTAAGATTTAAGCTATTCATTTTAATGAAACTAATTCTTCGGATTGTTCTTAGCGACTTTAGTTTTTGTAAAAAACTACATACTGCCGACGTTTCGGCTACTTTTCAGCAACCGTGATCACGGGCAGACGAAATGTAAACTTGTGTTTGTTCAAATCCTAAATTTCTAGTCCTTAGGTATACACATCCACTATATTTACATACTTTTTATAATTGATGGTGGTCGTTTCCATAGACATTTAAAATATGTTCGTGCAACTTGAACATAGGTCGGATATTAAAAACGTAATGAGACAAAACAAAATATAAATCCTGCATCTTATTGTTTCATATATATATGTAAACTATAAATATATTATGAAGTATTGGGAATGAGATAACTGGAATTTAAATAAAAAAAAAATTGTCTATTCCTTTAAAAGAAGCTTTGATTAGACTTTTTATTCTATGGCTTCATTCTCAAAGTGTCAAATGGTATAATTTTCCTATTTGAGACTTACGTCACAACAAATAATTCAAAGAAATGCTTCGTATATTTTGTTTATTATAACGGAAATATTATCTACTATAATTTTAGCTCATTATGAATTCTGAGAAACGAATGTTTTATTTGTTATACAATTCTTGTAATATTATAATTTTAAATTTATGATTGTCATTGAAGAGGTCATATCAATAGAGGCGGAAGATCAATTGGACTTAGCAATTTGCGGATATGGATCGTGCGTAAGGTACCGTTACGAAGACTCGGTCACACCTATAATGTGTATAATATAACAGAATGAGATATAAGACTTTATCGAGTTTTCATTTAAATGAAACTAATGTTTTTACAACTCGTCTGCCCGTGATCACGGTTGCTGAAAAGGAAGCAAAACGTCGGGAGTATATAGTTTTAAAATAATAATCCATAATATATTAGTAATATAATCCGAAGTATTTTAGTTTCATTTAAATATTACAGTCTTTACGAGATGAAAGCTTTCATGTATATGATCTTATAGATGAAGTTAGTACTATATGCTTGCCATGTTGGAAAATTAAATTAAAAAAGCGAAACTTATATATAGTTTTGTAACGTTGAATTTGATTACGAGTAATAATTTTGCAATATATACAGAATAAAAACATATAATTTCCAAATCACGAAATAATATTTACAAATATTTTTAATAGATTAAATTAAATATTACATACACAATAATAGTGACTTCCCGCTTTTTAGCCATTTTGAAATGTCAAAATATTTATTCTATCAACCTAAAATGGAGAACGAATCAACGATTAATTTGTTTAGTGATTGTTAGAGTACAACGAACCATTATAGAACAAAAGATATCTCATAATGTACAAATTGAAATGTGTGTATATTGGTAATTAAATTGAAAATGCATCTTTAAAAGTTTATTTTAGAACGTACATTAACGGCTTTCGTTTAACGGGAATTTGAACGGACAAAGAACTGGTGTACAGCTTCATATAAGGGTAAATTATAAAACTTTGTACATTAAAATGGTGCTTTATAGCTGTACCTTACTGTACAAGTTTTTGGTATCATACGTGGATTTAATAAAATAGTTGAATGACAATACAATACATTTAAAGGAACACGTATGCAATTAAACAATATTTTTGCAATTTGCATGACCGTAATTATCATGAATTGATATCTTGTTATGAGAATACACTTAAACATTTCAAGGAATACTAATAATTATGTAATTAGCATTCAAATGTCAGGTAATTTTGAATCTTAGGCTATTGGAATAAGATTTTTTTGCATTGTCAATTTTTCGGCGAAATGGCGTTTTTATTTCAAACCATTAAAGCTCCTCACTCCTGTTATGAGATTTGATTTTCCAATTACATGCACGGATACATCGAATACATTCTTTCAATGGATTTGTTTATGAATATTTCTTTTAGATAATATAAACATGACAAAACGTGTTTGTTTTAAAGCTGTTGTTTAGATTTCTGTAATTGTATTATTAAAATAATAAATTGAATGAAAACTATTATGGAAGAGAGTACAGATAAAAAATTTAGAAGAAAAAGTTTTTTTATCTGTGATCAATCAAATAAAGTATACAACAGATTAATAATAGTGTTCATGACTTATGTTATCTGTTATGGAAAAAAAAAAAATATAAATATAATTTTGTCATTTGAGATGACAAAGTGTTTACTGTTTTTTAAGTATGTGGATGTTTATATCATAACATTGTTTGTTAATAACAACGATATGGATCCAATGATAATGATACGATAATGATATTGATGGTTAGAAGGATGATATTATTGGCAGAAAATTTTATGCAATTTTTGAAAGAGTTATTCTTACGACGTAAAAAAAAAATGTTATAGTATCTATAATGATGGGTTGATCATATTTTTCGTTTTACATAGTACCGATTTGATTTGATGTTTTCTATAAGTATGAAAAAATAGGTTTGTATGTGATTCGTAGTACAAATAAATCAAGAACATTACAAAGAATTCCCTTTTTCTGTCTTATTTTATAATAAAACTATTTGATTTCAAATATATTAAACGATTTAAAACAATAAGAAGTACTGCAATGATATAATAACTGAAGATGATAAATCATTTAAAACCTCATATACTTTCATATATGGATGCAAAAAGTATTGTTAATTAATAATACAAAGGACAGATCAATGTAATATCTAATAACGTCTACTACTCTCCAAGACCATAATAAAGCAAGTATTTTTTTTTAATATGTTCTGTGATCTTCTGTGAGAGGATGGGACTTTCCCTGAACGAGCCAATGTTCGAAATGCAGTAGTTTGACCACAGCTAGGCTCTACTCTATTCTTTCCACCTATTGTGGCGAGGAGGAATTACGCTGGTTTTTTAGTGGGTAGACTGGGTGCTTAAACCTAGGAAATACCCGCGAAAAGCATTTTTCCAGCGATAACAAAATAAAAAGGCTCTTCTTCTATAAATACGGGCAGGAAGGGAAGCCGGGGAGTTTTAGTGGGTATTCCCAGGGTTAACAACATCAGGCTCTGGGCGACCGCACAAGTCCCACTGTCGAGCCAGGGCAGTGGGTAGTCTGTAAGCGGATTTCTCCCCAAAAAAAAAGGCTCTACTTCTATAATAACTTGTCGTGCCTTGTGTTGTACTGACCTGATACCAGCGTCATCCAGATTTGCGTCCCCAGGTGTGTGGCGACCGCTATCACGTACAGCGCCCTCCAGCCTCGCAGGTCCGACGACGAGCCCGAGCGACTCAGCCAGATGATGACCACTAGAACGGCCAGCGCCACGTGGAACGGCTGGGTCGTCCTTGTAGCGATACTGTTGAAATATATATATATGATATAATATGTATAGTCCCCAAAGTGGTTTTTTTTTATTATATGAAAAAAATCATTACTTATTTATTCCATATATTTTATCTTAAATTTTTTTTTAAATAGATTTACGAAGAGATAATCAAGATGTGATATTCTTTTCATACTCGCGACGATTAGTTAAAAAAAATATTTAACTCAACTCTCAACTCAGAGTTTATTTTTGCTACATTTACTTCTTTTAGAAATCTGAAAAGAAATATTTTCTCCTAAAAGTTACCTATATCAAGTCATGCCGCCCGCCTCTCATGCATGAGGGCGCGGGTTTGATCCTGGCAAGTACCAATGTGATTTTTCGAGTCATATGTACTTTCTAAGAGTATTTAGACATCACTGATTAATGCATTCCCAAAAAAGAGGGGGGTTGATGTCAGGTAGGCGGCCGGTAGTAAAAATAATTAGCCAAAACTATTCACAACATGTCAGGCAGACAGAAAGCTGGGAAATTGCCAGGTAGAAGATATGATACAATAGAAGCGTAATGAGATATAAAACTAACGAGTATTCATTTAAATGAAACTAATATTATTCGGATTACTGTTCGTGTTTTATGTTTTAAAGTCCCTAGTAGGTTCTTTTCAAATTTGGTTAGGTAGAGAAAGGAGCTTGGACAGTGGAGGTGAGCGTTTAACGCGCATTGGATAGGGGATCCTTTAAACCTACACCTGGGTCGCAAGTCCCAGGCACTGTTGAAGCTCCTCTCACTACAACGATGGACCCGACACACGCACGGTGAATACATTGAATGCTAAGAGGTTTCGTTTCGCCTTGTAAAAACTATATACTCAATACGTTTCGGTTACTTTGCAGAAACCGTGATTTCGGGCAGACGATATAGCACATTTGTAGTTTTATAAAATAATAAAATACGCGTAGTAATCAGAATAATATTAGTTTCATTTACAATAGAAGCGATCGTCTATTCTGTTCAATGATATTCAATGTATGTGACGTGCTCACACACACAGATGTAATGTATATTTGTATCAATACTTTACATGTGTGTGTGTGTGTGTGTGTGTGTGTGTGTGTGTGTGTTTGTTTTAGTTAATGATGACAATATTAAACGGCCTCAGCAGTAACAAAGTTCGTGTACCTTGATCATTCACGGATGCTTTAGATAAGCTCAGTTTTATATTAAAATTTTGACATTGGTGAAATATATACGGAAATGTTTATAATTCAAAGAATAGGATAGTTCGTATTATAAGAAAATTTATAGTTATATTTTAACAAGAAAATACTAAACATGTTAAAACCATTGATATATAATTATTTGAATAAAAAAAAATATTTTTTTCTTATAGTTATTCATTACTTCATCTTTTATTGATATTATGTAAGTCAACTATAATTATGAACATGGTATAACAAGTACAAGATATAAAAATACAACACCAATTTTACATACATATATTCTTCAAAATGTACGATTTACGATATTAAGATAAAAAACAAGAATCGTTTAAAATAAATAAAACATGACTTCCATTAGTACGAAATCATAAAAAAATACTATCAAATACTTTCAGTGGCGTTATATGATGACGCTTTTAAAATTCCTCATAACAGGAGAAACCTCTTTATATTGTATGTTTTATTACTAACGTCTAAGAACAGTTAATAAAAAAATACTTTTTCCGTTTTAATCATCTTCTAATGATCATAAAAATATTTCAGTCTCCAAACAATTTGCTTTGAGGTTAGAGATAAAAAAATGTCACAGATTAAATGACTTAAAACAGTAGGTTAATAAAGTTAAGGATGTCAAGATTATTTATAATCTGTGTACACTGTCATGAAAAATATAATTAGCTTTAAAGGAATATATTAAAATAATAATTATTTATTAATATTTATTATCATTAGTTCTCGAGACCTTGTTACGAGCGTGTCAAGGAATCTGATTTACAACGCCTATATATTTATATTATAGTGTTAGTTTTAAAATAAAATATTTTATTATTAACGCCTATACTGAAAATTGTTGAAAGTTAGCTATAAAGAGATTGTTACTTTGTATCGACTTTACATAATAAATATTATATCTAATCCTTACATATATTGTTGTGTATTCGAAAAGGAATTTAATCTTTTTTCAATTAGATTTTGGACTTCCATAGAAGAACAGTTTTTTCGTTTGGCAATTGATGATTGAACATGCTTTTCGGTTTATAAGAAATGATCTTATACAGTTTTTAAGTTTATTCTCAATTTATATCGCTTTTAATTCGTACAATTTGTCTTATTCAACATTAAGCCTATGGATTATAAGAATTAATATATATACATGTAACTCTCTGTTAGCCATAAATTTTTGACATTACTTTTTTTAAAGATTTTTTTAAATACAGACCCATTGAATTTTCAAGAAACATTATTTCTCATTCTTTCCCGCCCTACCTATCTCTATTTATTTCACAATTATAACGTCTTGCAACACCATGGAGTGAAATAACGAAATTAGACAATGATTTCGTCGCCATTTTGTTTTGCACGTGCTTAAAGGCACGTAGGGGCCATTTGGAACAAGATTAATCTATTTTATCAATCCTTCGCAAAATTTAAACTATAAAGAAAGCATGAAAAGACGTAGCACAATATTGTTATATTAAATGGTCTGTATTCAAAACATATGACGTACTGTTGAGAGTAGACTGAAAAGCAAATATTGGTTCAGCACTTAAAAGGTAATAAGTGGATTATACCTCACGAATAGACTTTGTATTATCCATTAACTCTGAAGTAAAAGCAAACGTGAAACGAATATTCTTAAAGATTCTTGAATTGTATAAATGTATTAAGAAGGGTGAAGTTTTGACAAATATATTTAAAAATATATACACCAAACCACTTTTCAACAGACTAAAAAAAAGGATGTTATCTATGGTTCCGTATCTTTTCAAATATCCAAAAACAATTCTTTAAAATAAACATAATTATACTCGCTTTTAACTAATAATAAAATCTTATTACTCTATTCTATATACATTAATATATTCTGTTCCTTAAGTTATGAAACTATACAAATTCGCTCAGCTGTTAAGGTGTGAAATCTTGATAAAGAAAGTAACACTTATTAAGCTATTACGTTAGAAATGTGTTATATTAGATATTAATTTTAGCCTGATATTAAAACAATCGTCAATAATCTATACTAGTGAGTGCGTCATGAAGGCGTGTTTTGTTTAAAATGTGACGTTTGCCGTGACTCGATCCATTGACAAAGACTCCGCGTGTAAAATCCGTCAAATATAATATTGATGTTAGAACAATATTAATTTTATGCAAATTTATATTATACTAGCTGACCCGGCAGACTTCGTACTGCCTCAATCAAGAAATAAATTATTCTTAATTATTTTTTTGGAGTTTACCTTTAAGCCATAAGTCTCCGTGTTCTGAAGTGCGACAGAATGATTGACATATTAGTCAGTTGTCAAATCTAATGTCAAAAAAACCCGTTTGCATGGGAAATAGAAAAGCGCTGTTTTTAGGGTTTTCCCGGAATTTTTTTTTTTCAGCTTTTATACCTTCAATGAACCTCCACAAACATTTCAAGTCTAAGATAAGAAAAATCGGTTCAGCCGTTCTCGAGTTTTAGCGAGACTAATGAACAGCAATCCATTTTTATATATATAGAAGATAGAAGATTATATACATACTTTTTATTTGTTTGTTAGTATTTTCGTCCGTTTAATAAGAAATAATATCACATGTAAAAATTATTAGAGTTCGAAGCCATACTAGCTTTTTAAATATATCATCGTAAGGTTTCTTAATCGAACAATTATTTATTTATTGGTCCTAATAGGAGAGTCGCAACAATGAAAAAATGAATTGTTATTTATCGATATCAAATGAACTAATCGATTTCTCAACACCGATGCGTTACATATATTTTAATAGAATGATTTAAAATATGTGGAAACAGTTTGTCAACCAAAAAGTTCTGTTGATAATTATAATTTAATCACCTGTTTATATTTAATTATTGTTATTAAAAACTAAGGTGAATTTGGCAAAGTTTAAGTTTTCAGAAGTATCCATGATATATAATTAATCATTATTACATGATTTCAGCTCATTAACATAAAAAAAAGTAAATAAAAAGTAATAGTAATCCTTTTTATCGCTTCAATGTATCATTTTACTTTACGACTCACATTATTCCAAGCACGTAAGAGATACTTGCTCCGATATTGTAATGTAATGTTTTTAATTAACCAATAAATAAACATTGTGGGTTTTGTTACAAATCAAAATGTCTCAGACGCGGACCAGAATATAAAGAAAGTAAACGAAAAGTCTCTCATGAATTATTCAATATGTTTATATTTTTAAACTTAAAGCCGGTTCCGACGAAATTCATGTATGAGGCAGTCGAATCGTTTGTTAATATTACACTTGAATGGCGGCCATATTGTGATGCAACAAATTGCGAATAATATATCGGAAAAAAACTTATTGTTTTAATTCCGTTGGATTTTATTGCTTTGAATAAAAAAATATATGAAGCTTTTTAATAATATATGAGATGACAAATTTTGACTGAAAACTTAAGTGATGCTTTATATTGAAAATATATTATAAGATATATACGTATATATACTTTAAAGATATTTTGTGTTGTCTTTTTTATGTAAAGTAGTTCTTATTTGAATAATAGACTTACAAAGAAAAGAGTTTTAAGCTCAAAATGAGCATTGAAAAGAACACTAAAATATTTAAAAAAATAATAATATGTATTTTATTGTTTAATTTCTCTTTAACAAACTGCAATGAAGATAATTATTATAAAGTATTATACACGTGTTTCTGAACATAAAATGTCATAACTCATAATGCAACTTAGACATTGTGTAAAACTTTGTAACTAACTGAACTATTATTTTTAACTTGTTAAGAATATTACTCGGAGACTTATGTATTATATATTTTATT